GCTGTTAATCTGACTTTACATCGCACTGAACAGAATGACTTTTTTCATTAATGCCTATCATGTGAAGGCAACATACGGACGGTGACACAAAGACGCAGGTTCATCACTAATGCTGACGACTTGATGTCCTATAGGTGTTTTTTTTTATTATTATTTTATTTTTTTTAACAACTGTGATGCATTGTTGTTTTTTTTCTCCACATATTGTCCCACATAGAAACGTGTCACATTTAACACATTGTTATTAGAAAACAGATGTTGATTTTTATCGCCCGGTGTCTGTGGCTTCTTTTTCGAGAAAAGTCGACACAGGTGTCATATGCGCCGGGATACCAGGACAACATTTGCATGACATACACACCTGTCCTCGGCGATGCAACACGTCACTGTAACACAATACGCAAAGTAAAACTCAGGAGAGTAATGTTTCATTACGTGATGAACAGAAGGTGGAGGGGAGGGGAGCTGGGGGAGGAACACAGATGCATAACTTAAAGTAAAAGCCATCCAAACCCAGATTTGTTTACAGATTTGTTTAATCAGGAAAAATATATGCAAACAAATGAATTTGCCTGTGGTTGTAACTGTGTATTAAGATCATCACTTACAAGGCCAGGTCTCCTCTAGCCCTCTACGGTTACCATCCATCATGCATTATTAAGGAAAATAGAATCTGCATAAAGCAGAAACAATGCCTGGAAGAAAGTTGATTTATTTATTTATTTGTTTGTTTTATCTTTCAGGCACTCTGCAGCAGATCCAAGCACTCAGTTGCTGTAAGCTAATTACAAAGCATTTGATCTCCATGCCCCCAAGATGTGCAATTATAACCTTGGTTTAAAATTAGGGAAATATTTTACAATTAAAAATAGCGGCATGAAGATGCACTGACGTAACTCGTGGTGACATCTCACCTTTTTTCTGTGTGGGTGTGTGTGTGTGTGTGTGTGTGTGTGCATGTGTGTGAGTGTAACGTGGTGTTTGGTACTGAAGAGGACATTAGGCTGATCTAACACAGCCATTGCCCTGCAACCACAGCTGACCTCGCTGGAGGGAGATAACAAAGAAGGAAGGGAATATACCATTTCCCAAAGCTTCTCCACTTGTAGCATACATGCAGCATTTTAACTAGAAAGAAACTTTTGGTGGGGGGGGGGTAATTTAGCAAACTTGTAGCACTTAAAGGAACCTGTAGCTTTAGTGCTGCCGCATTGTTATCTATGCAGAGATCACACAGGCACTGCCACTTCTTCCCCCCGCCATATCTCTCTGCAGATCGCACAAGGAAGACAATTGTCATTACCATTTTATTAAAATGTGTCCTATCAGCAACATTTCCGCCCCCTCACATATCTAACCCCCTTTTTCCCTTCTTTTCTCCTTATAATTCTAATCATCATTCCCCTCCATCACTTGCTGGGTCTAATTCCCTCTCTTCCTTCGTTTGCAAAGGACCTCTGCTTTCATCCTTGAGAAGGGCTTTAATTCGAAGTGCGACGCTGAATAAAGAAGGGAAGACGAGGGGAGAGAGAGAGAGAGCGGAGAAAGAGAAAGGGAGAGTGATACGAAGGGAAGGAGCAGTAGCAGAGACGTTCGGGTGTCAATCAATCGGTGCGCGAGGGGGCTGCGAGGGCCCGTGACTAGGGTGCGTTTGATCTGTGTCTTTCAAAGGGGGAACAGCGGGAAGGGCCATCACAGATGATTTGGCTCTCGCTGCTGGCCCTGGTGCCACTCTGACAGAGAGCAATCACAAGCAGGTTAATTCAACATCTACCTTCTTAATCTTTTTTTCCCCTGTCTCTTTCTTTTGGTCTCGTTCTGTCTACTTAGATGAAGCACAGCTCTTTCCCGCTACCACCACCGCACACCTCCCCTTTTCCCCTCTCTTTTGAAAGAGAGAGAGAGAGAGATCACAAAGTGTACAGTCGATGCCTTCTCAAACCACCTTTTTGTCTGATTGCATCGGTCTTAATCGAGTGAAGAGGCTTGTTGATTGTCTGCATTCCAGCGGGGTTTATTAACATGTTGCTGCCATAAAGCAAAAGTCTTTGAACAAATTGTAATGCATCGATGAAAGCTAAGTGGCATGAGTAATTTCTCCTTGAAAAATCTGGTGCTGTGAAGACTTTTCACCATCAGCTGCATTTTTGGATCATTTCTTTAGCTGTCAGTCTCTGGGTTCATATCTGTGGTGTGGTGTGAGAAGAATATCAATACGAGCGTCAAGATGACATCTTGAAAACATGCTGCTTAACTTCACTGAAAGAAGGAGGATATATTTCCTCAGGATGACTGAAAGTTGACATGCAATCCAGACAATATCTGACCTTCGCTCATAAAACTGAAAAGTGATAGCCAAAATGTACTCGGCTTGCCAGAGCTGTGAGTATGTTGGGTCAATCGACAATCAAGTTTAAGATTACCACATAACCACAGCAGAGGCCTGAAAACAACCAAAGGGTAAACTAAGCAACAACTGAAACTTTGACACCAAAGGTCA